GTTCAGGGTTCAGGGTTCAGGGTTTAGGGTTTAGGGTTTAGGGTTTAGGGTTTAGGGTTTAGGGTTTAGGGTTTAGGGTTTAGGGTTTAGGGTTTAGGGGTTGAGGGTTTAGGGGTTGAGGGTTTAGGGTTTAGGGCTCCTGCCCAACAAGAACAGGAGCCTGAAAGAAGAATCCCAGCCCCCACTCCTCGCGAATGCCCTGCACCCCAATTGGGGTTTAGGATTTAGGGTTTCGGGTTCAGGGTTTTGGGGTTTAGGGTGTAGGGTTTGAATACCCTCCACGAAACCCGAAACTCTAACTCGCAGGGTTTTGGGCTTGGGGTTAGGGTGTAGGGTTTGGGAAGTTTAGGGTTTAGGGTTTTAGGGCTTAGGGTGTGGCTTTATTCAGGAGGGTTCAGGGACCCTAAACCCTAAACCCTAAACCCTAAACCCTAAACCCTAAACCCTAAACCCTAAACCCTAAACCCTAAACCCTAAACCCTAAACCAAAATTCGGGCCCGAAGCCCCGACTGTGGCCTCCCCGCGGACGATGGGCTTCGCCTGGGTGAGGATGACGTACCTGTGTGCCGGGTTTAAAGGATTAGGGTTTAGGGTTTAGGGTTTACGGTTTAGGGTTTAGGGTTTAGGGTTTAGGGTTCGGGGTTTGGGGTTTGGGGTTTGGGGTTTAGGGTTTAGGGTTTAGGGTTTAGGGTTTAGGGTTTAGGGTTTGGGGTTTGGGGTTTGGGGTTTGGGGTTTGGGGTTTGGGGTTTAGGGTTTGGGGTTTGGGGTTTGGGGTTTGGGGTTTGGGGTTTGGGGTTTGGGGTTTTGGGTTTTGGGTTTGGGGTTTGGGGTTTGGGGTTTGGGGTGTAGGGTTTGGGGTGTAGGGTATGGCGTGGGGCTGAGGTCTAAGGTTGAGGGTTGAGAGTTTGGGTTCTAAGGTGTAGGGGTTTAGGGCTTAGGGTCTGAAAACAACCCCGAAAGCCCCCCTTGACGCGTCCTAAGTTCAGGCCGAAGAGACGGCGTGTCCAAGTCCACGGCAGAGATGAGGGCACCCACATAGTGGCCATCCTGACTGAACCTTGCCGCCCGCGACCCCAGTGGGTTTAGGGTTTAGGGCTTAAGGTTTAGGGTTTTAGGGCTTTAGGTTTTTAGGGTCTTAGGGTCTTGGGTCTGAGGGTCTTAGGGTCTTAGGGTCTGAGGGTCTGCGGGTCTGAGGGTCTTAGGGTCGTAGGGTCTTAGGGTTTAGGGGTTTAGGGCTTAGGGTAACACTGAAGCCTGAGCCCATCACAGACCTTAAGTAATTTGCGGCATGTCCGTGATATCATGCGTGTTGTCTCGACCGGGGGACCTTCTGCCCTAAACCCCTGACCTAAGCCCTGCACCCAAATCGGAACTAGGTGACTAGGACCCAGAGTAGGCCCTTATTCCCGTCTTTGTGGGTTTAGGTTCCTGTATAGTCACCTTTAAGCCAAAAGGAGTGCTCTTTCTTATTCCTAGGTTCCTCTTGAGCGTTTCGGGGGGGGTCTTGGGTGGCTTCGTTAGGGGCTTTTAGGCTTTGCCTCGTGGACCACATGAACCCTGAAAATGGGGGGCCACATACCCTTTGCTGCTATAATCCCTATTAGGGTATAGATGAACCATAAGCCCCTGTAGGGCTCATGTGGTCCACAAGGAAGGCCCGAACCCTACACCCTAAACCCTAAACCCTAAACCCAAAACCCTAAACCCTAAACCCTAAACTATAGGGCTGCAAGGCCAGGGAGCTCCAGCACACCGATGATGCTGGTCATCACCACGCCGATGCCCAGGACGCCCAGGGGCGCGGCGTACTTGATGTCGTAGCCCTCCTGGTGAGCTCTCTTTCTTAGGGTTTAGGTTTTAGGGTTTAGGGGTTAGGGTTTAGGGTTGTAGCCCAGTAGCCATGCATTATATTAAGGGTACCCTTTCTTGGGGGTATGGCTACTGTGTAAGATTTCAAAAGGCAGCCAGCTGACCAAAAAAAAAACAAAGGCAAGCGTTTTCTTTTCTCTCGGAGGTATTTCAGCAGCCAAGAATTATATTAAGGGTACCCATGTGGGGGTATGGGAGCCTAGACACCAACAAAAACGGCAAAAAGGGTACCACTGGGCTACCAAGGGATGCAGAGGGTTTAGGGTGCTTTCGGGCTTAGGGTTGAGACGAGTTTCACCCCGGGCCTAGAGAAAAACCTCATGTAATCTTGGTAGCCAAAGTAACCAGATTATGATAGAGCCACCCTTTTTTTTTGGGGGGTTGGTTGCGTTACGAGGGAACCCAGAACCCCCAAACAAAGGTAAAGGGGCACCATCTTAAACCCTAAGCCCTAAACCCTAAGCCCTAAACCCTAAACCCTAATCCCTAAACCCTAAACCCTGGGCTACCAAGTGCTTGAAGAGGGCGAGCTCAGCCCCGTGAGCACGGACAGGGCGCGTCCTGAGCAATCCAGCTCGCGTTGACGGCAGTGTCCCACCAACACTTCCTGTGCGAAAGGTACTGAACTCTAAACCCTAAGTTAGGGTTTAGGGTTTAGGGTTTAGGGTTTAGGGTTTAGGGTTTAGGGTTCAGGGTTCAGGGTTCAGGGTTCAGGGTTCAGGGTTCAGGGTTCAGGGTTCAGGGTTCAAGGTTCAGGGTTCAGGGTTCAGCGTTCAGGGTTCAGGGTTTAAAACCCTAACCCTAAACTTTAAAACCCAAACCCCAAACCCTGAACCGGTGGGGCCCACACCCCCAAACCCTAAACTCTAAACCCATAAACCCTCCTAAGCCCTAAAACCCGAAAATCCTAAACATCCAATTCCTCCTAAACCCTAAACCCTTCAACCCTCCTAAACCCCTAACCCCTAATTAAATCCTACATAAGCCACAAAACCCTAAACCCTAATCCCCTAAACCCTAAACCCCTATAAGGAAATACTATGAGTATTTTATTCGACCTCTATATTAACCTGAACCCCTACTGTAAACCGTCCTCAACCCTCCCTAGCCCTAAACCCTAAACCCCTAAATCCTAAACCGATAGACCCCTAAATCCTATACCCGTAGACCCTAAACCCCTAAGCTCTCCTAAACCCCTAAACCCTAAACCCTAAACCCTAAAACCTAAACCCTAAACCCTAAACCCAAGACCCTGTCCCATGCAGATCCAAGCAGCAGCCAGGACCAGACGAAGAGAGCGAGGCCGACGACTCAGAGTGGTGCCAGTTAGGGTTTAGGGTTTAGGGTTTAGGGTTTGGGGTTTGGGGTTCAGGGTTCAGGGTTTAGGGTTTAGGGTTTAGGGTTCAGGGTTTAGGGTGTAGGGTGTAGGGTGTAGGGTTTAGGGTTTAGGGTTTAGGGTTTAGGGTTTAGGGTTTAGGGTTTAGGGTTTAGGGTTTAGGGTTTAGGGTCTAGGGTCTAGGGTCTAGGGTTTACGGTTTGGGGTTCTCCAAATGAGGGTCCCTTTTGCGGGGTCTTCTTTATCGAGGTGCCGCATTGTACAGGTGACCCAAAAAGGACCCTGATTTAGAGAACTACCCTCAAAAAAGAGTTGTAGGTTTTGGGTTCAGGGGTTCAAGGGTTTGGAGGTTTGGTTTAGGGGTTTTGGGTGTTTATGTTTTCTGGGGTTTGGGGTTCATCTGCTCCGGGGTTCCTCTGCTCGGGGGTTTGGAGGTTTGGAGGTTTCGAGGTTTCGGGTTTGTGGTTTGGGGTTTCGCCATGTCCGAGTTTAAGACTCGTGTGATCCTTGCATTTCCTTAGAAATGTTCACAAAGGGTCCCCCAACCCAAGGGCACAACCTTGGGGGTCCAAGGTAGAATCCCATGAGAGGCCTATCTACGAAATACTCAACCCTAATGAGTCCATGATGTTTCCCTACTACCCCCCTATATATACTACCCCCCCCCCCCAGGTTCCCCCCTGAAGAATGAAGAAACCTTAAGCAGCTTAATTATCCCTAAACAGCCTTAGTCATGGGGGGAAGTTAGGGAGGGTAGTATAGAGGGGCGTAGTAGGCTAACCCCTAATGAGTCAAAGGCACCTTGCTGAGCCATTTGAAAGGCAGTGGCCTTCTCGGCCGGGCCTCCGCACGCAGGATAGGAACTGCGGATCTGGGTTTAGGGTTTGGGGTTTAGGGGTTGAGGGGTTTAGGGGTTTATATAGGGGTTTAGGGGTTTAGGGTTTAGGGTCTAGGGTTCACAGCCAAATACAAGACTGCCCAAGCACGACATGCCACACGCTCTTTCAACGCGTCGACCCGCATCGTCCATCTTGTAACCTACCTTGGTAGCCCAGTAACCACATGATTGATTCTAAGGGTCCCCCTGGTTTGGGGCTGGTTTACTTAAAGGGATCCCTGGAACCAAAAAAAGGGGGTACCACTGGGCCACCAAGCTACTTAAAATGCCCACATTGTGTGCACTGCCGATTGCAGATACACGCGGGCTGAGTCCATGCTCATGAGCAGCAAGCTTACCTTAGCTTTGGAGTAGACCCTGGAAAAAAAGTATATACTTTTTAGGTAATGAGTAGCAATCATAGGAACCCAGAACCAAAAAAAGTATTAAAGTATAGTACTCCAAAGCCCAGTTGCCACCACGGAGTGTCATGATTGCCGTGGCCATGGCAGTTCTTCCACTTGCCTTTGTAGCACTGGCACCACTCGAAGTCACAGTTGAAGCCGGTGCAATGCTCCCATTCTCCGTGGTGGTAGGTTTTCCAGCCGTAGGTGCATTTTGGGGGCTCAAACTTGGAGCACTTGCTCCAGTGGCCATGATTGCATTGACACCACTTGTAGTTGCAGTGCATGCAGTGCTCCCATTCGTCGTGGCGGTAAGATTTGCCTTGGAATGTGCACGCAGGCGGTCCCCAGCTGCTGTTCGTCTCCTCCGTGCTGTTCACAAGCAGGGCACCACGCAGCTGAACAGCATTCAAAGCGCATCCGTCTTCAAAGCCGTTGCACTCGTCATCTGGCAGCAAAGCAGGCGAGATCTCTGCCGCAGCCGCGACCACCATCAGCACACGCCAAAGCATCGCAAGGTGCCAAGGGGGCTTGAAATTGGGCGAAAGGGCGTCGCTGCCTTGATGCGCTTCAGCTGCGGGAAAAACGTACAGCGTGGCAGGCTAGCAAGACTTTACAAGCGCGCATGCGAGCGTAGCAGTGGCACGTAAGCCACAAACCCCAGGCTGTCGTCTCTGGCCCTAGGTCGTAGCTGCCTAGAGAAGATGCAATCGTTAACGAAATACCATGTAAATAGAATACAGAATACACGCATACGTAGTTCAAACAAAATGTGTATACATATATATATATATATATACATATATACTTGTTTATGTTCATGCTTTTGAACATATGCCGCACAGTGTATCGTCTACAACGAGCCCACAAGACCTCACGAGCTTCACCTGGCTTAGAGCTCAGAGCCAGGGCTGGTACCCTAAGCCCTAGCCCTAAACCCTAAACCCTAAACCCTAAACCCTAAACCCTGAACCCTAAACCTTAAACCCTAAACCCTAAACCCTGCTGGAATCAGCGGGCCTGGAGCTGCTGGCACTGCGTCAGGTCCCAGCCTCCAAATGCTCGGACTGTTGGAGGAAGAGGTTTAGGGTTTAGGGTTTAGGGTTTAGGGTTTAGGGTTTAGGGTTTAGGGTTTAGGGTTTAGGGTTTAGGGTTTAGGGTTTAGGGTTTAGGGTTTAGGGTTTAGGGTTTAGGGTTTAGGGTTTAGGGTTTAGGGTTTAGGTTTTCGGGTTTAGGGTTTAGGGTTTAGGGTTTAGGGTTTAGGGTTTAGGGTTTAGGGTTTAGGGTTTAGGGTTTAGGGTTTAGGGTTTAGGGTTTAGGGTTTAGGGTTTAGGGTTGCTCCAACTTTGCACAGCGCCCGGCTGTGAGTTTAAGCAGCCAAGGAAGCCGCGAGTTCTGCAAAATGGGTACCTGAACCCTAGACCCTAAACCCCAAACCCCAACACCTAAACCCTGGAAACCGCAGTCCAAAAGCTCCTAAACCTCCAAGCCTGAACCTGCCCGTCCTAGCAACCCTAAACCTCTAAACCCCACAAGCTCTGAACCGCTAAACCTGAACCTCCGAACTTCAAAACCTCTGAACCTGTCTGAACCTCGGAACCTCTAAACCTCTGAACCTCTGAACATCTAAAACTCTCTGAAACTCTGAAACTCTCTGAACCTAAACCCTAAACCCTAAACCCTAAACCCGAAACCCGAAGCCCGAAGCCCGAAACCCGAAACCCGAAATCCGAAACCCTATCCTTCAGGACCAAGCGTCTTGCGTTGGTGGCCCGGCGCCTTTGGCAGCAGACCCGGCGGCGGCACGCTGCAACCTGCCGCGCGCATCAGTGGTTAACGGTTTCAAAGGCTTGGGGGGGCTTCGGAGTTTAGGGTTTAGGGTTTAGGGTTTAGGGTTTAGGGTTTAGGGTTTAGGGTTTAGGGTTTAGGGTTTAGGGTTTAGGGTTTAGGGTTTAGGGTTGGGATGTTCCTCCTTGTACAAACAGTCCTTAGCAAGGATTTTGTACGCCCTCTTATAATCCCGATTAAGGACTGTTAGTATAGGGGGGAACATGCCAAGCTTAGGGTTTAGAGTTTCGGGAGTCGGGTTTAGGCTTAGGGTTTACGTAGGCTTCAAAGTCTAGGGTGCTGCGCCCCCCCCCCCCCCCCTCAATGTGCCGGACTGTTCGTATAGGGGGGGAACATCCCAATCCCAAACCCTAAACCCGGCCTTGGTTGTTGCTGTTCTGCACCCCCGTGGGTGGTGGTCGCTGAGACGCCACAGGCACCTGCATGATAAAGGTTTAGGCTTAACGGTTTCGGGTTGTGGTGGAGCTCTTGCGGTTTCAACTGATCGCTTCGGACTCACCCTTAAACTAATCCCATTCTGGTGCTTAGGAGGGCTTTGGGCGAGGGAATGTACTACTACAAATACGATGGGGATGATGCATCCCCTTCTGCGACGTCGTATTTCGCATGTAGGCGGCAGACATGTTGCAAGCCAAAAGCATTGGCTCGGGGCCCTATACATATACACCAAACACTACTAACATATGACGCAGTTTGTATTTTCTGTTCTAGGTGACTGTATATAAGGCTCCTTTCTAATATTGGTGAGTGTACATATTGGGTGTCCTTGCGGGGTACAAGAAATATAAACCCTCCTTCATATACATAGGGTTGGTTGATGCTTTGGGCTGTAGAGGCTTCCTCTGCGTCGTCGTTCTTAGGAGCCAAGAAAAACCACCACATCTGAAAATATGCCTTGGAAGAGACCTGGCCTAAACCCTAAACCCCAACCCCTAGTAGCCTTCCCGAATACTCCCTCCAGCACACCCGAAACCTCACACAACTTGTCCTTAAGCTTCCCCAGGCTAAGAGTCAAGAACCCGAAATTACGCCGAAATCGTTGCGTCCGTGAGGCTGATGCCCTAGAGCCCAACAAACCTCACGCCCCAGAACCTGTCGGCCTCCTTCCCTCAAGTGCCCCCATGCCCCTGCGCCAGCCTGGTGCTCGGAGATGTCGGGGCCGCCAGTCTCCGGAGGCCCCTGAGGGAGAAGAAGGGCTTAGGGTTCAGGGTTCAGGGTTTAGGGTTCAGGGTTCAGGGTTCAGGGTTCAGGGTTTAGGGTTCAGGGTTTAGGGTTTAGGGTTTAGGGTTTAGGGCTTAGGGTTTAGGGTTTGGGGTATTGGCATTTGGGTGTGTGGAGGAGTTGCATGTTGGGGATGATGGCTTCGGAACCTGGGGTGCTGGTCGGATGTTCCGGCCATCAGCCTTCTAGCCTCATGTCGTGCTTCAAACGGACCTAAACCCTAAACTCTAAACCCTAAACACTAAACCCTAACCATAAACCCTAAGCCCTTCGCCTTTTGCCCTCATGTCGTGTCCAGGCCCTAACATCATAGGTTCCCCTACTACCCCCCCCCCCTCTATACCACCCCCCCTCGGTTCCCCCCTTTAATAACCGGTTTAGGGTTTAGGGTTTAGGGTTTAGGGTTTAGGGTTTAGGGTTTAGGGTTTAGGGTTTAGGATTTAGGGTTTAGGGTTTAGGGTTTAGGGTTTAGGGTTTAATCAGGCCTAGTTGTCCCGAAACAGCCTTCAGTATAAAGGGGAAACGGGGGTAGTAGGGGAACACATGATAACGGAGGCCGCGCACCCAAGAAGACCTCTGGGCTGTTCCTGGCAATCCCAGAACTTCTATTTGCTTAAGAACGCCCCCCAAAAGGAAAACATTTAAAACCAAACCCTCCTGAAAAACGAGTAATCTAGGGATGATTATCTTGTGTTTCTTTGGGGGTTCTTAGCGGATAGCAACCCTAAGTAAACCCTAAACCCTAAACCCTAAACCCTAAACCCTATACCCTAACAATGTCTGGCCTTCTCGAAGGCCTCTTGTCTGGGGATGTCTGGGCCGCCCGCGCGAGGTGCAGGAGCCTCTGACAGCGGATGGCAGGGCTTGAGGGTCTTTAGCTTAGTAGCCGGTCGGGCCGTGCCGCGGGACGCGCGTCTGGGGACGCGGTCCGGGACGTGGCCGCTGACCCTCCTCAGGACGCAGCCCGCTCCAGGTCTATAGAAAGCGATGCGGCGCTCGCGTGCGTTTCCAGGGGGTGGGAAAACGCACGTGTACTTGTGTTTTGAGTTTAGGGTCTCGGGGCTCGTCCCACAGTTCGTTCCTTCCCCTTCCCCTCCCCTCCCTTTCCCTCCAATGACCCTTAGCTGTGTCCAAAAAGGCTCTGTGCATTTCGGGAGGCCTGGAAAATGCACGGGAGCTTTTGGTTTCCGGGTTCAGGGTTTGGGGCTTCGGGCCTCGAGGTTTTTGCACAGAGTGACTCCTGCCTAGCCCCCCAGGAACTTTCTAGGGAACCTCATGAGGACCCTTCCAGCTCTGCACTGTCCAAAAAGGCTCTGTGCGTTTCGCGATTTGCATTTTCCGAGGCTTTTGCACTGAGTGATTCCTGCCTAAGCCCCAAACCCCTAAGGAACCTCATGAGTCATGAGGTCACCTTGCAGAAGGCTCTGTATTGTCCAAGAAGGCTCTGTGCGTTTTGGGGGGCCTGGAAAATGCACGGGAGCTTTCGGGTTCAGGGTTCGGGTTGAGGGCCGAAAGGACTGCGTGCGTTTTCCGAGATTTTTGCACTACGTGATTTCCCCAAAACCCCAAAGGAACCTCATGAGGACACCTGCCAGAAGGCTCTGTGCTGTCCAAGAAGGCTCTGTGCGTTTTGGGGGGCCCTGGAAAATGCACGGGAGCTTTCGGGTTCAGGGTTCGGGTTGAGGGCCGCAAGGACTGCGTGCGTTTTCCGTACGTGATTCCCCAAGAACCCCCCTACGGAACTTCTTGAGGACACCTGCCAGAAGGCTCTGTGCTGTCCAAGAAGGCTCTGTGCGTTTTGGGGGGCCTGGAAAATGCACGGGAGCTTTCGGGTTCACGGTTCGGGTTGAGGGCCGCAAGGACTGCGTGGGTTTTCCAAGATTTTTGCACTACGTGATTCCCCCAGAACCCCCCTAAGGAACCTCATGAGGACGCCTTCCAGAAGGCTCTGTGCTGTGATAGGGACTTCGAAGAAACCTGTGCAGGGGGCTGGGGCACTTCGCCTGCACCAACATCGGACTACACCTTGAATCATAAACCCCTAGATCGTTACGTCCATCAGGCTCCTACCAGTTAAGCCTCAGGCCTCAGAGCCTGCACTACAATAACCTAAACTCAACTATAAACCCCTAAATCGTTACGTCCTCCCCGCTGCTACCAGTTAAGCCTTACGCCTCAGAACCCGTAGGCCTCCTTCCCTCAATTGCCCCGCCTCTTCGCCTGCGTCGCGTTGGGGGATGTCGGGGCCGCCAGTCTCCGGAGGGCCCTGTAGAGAAGATTGCAGGGGATTGGAAGCGCTTTAGAGGGGTCTTTGGGCCTTCGGGCTTTGGACTTGGGGTTTCAGGGTTTCGGCGTTAGGTGAAAAATCTGCAGGGTTGAGCTTACTAGACGCACTGTACCTGCACCAAATCTTGTCAAGGATGCAGGCAGAGAGAGAGAGAGG